GCCCGCACCTCGCTCAGCCAGTGAGCCGTAACTGGTCTGTATGTGGGATCCGAACCCTCGGCGGGAGCGCTGCCGTGCTCCCAAGCGGCACACTGTAGCAGTGCGCCACCGGGCCGGCCCGGAAAGTGCTAAGCTTCTAATTCCATATTTTTCCATTCTCCCACTTAATGGTTTTTAATACTACTTAACATTTTCTATTTGAGGAACCAACAAGGAGCAAAAGGAAACAACTTTGCAATTGACAGGCAAAAATGTAACTTTTTTTTCTGCCTAAGGGATCCATCAGCAAAAGGGAATAGCTTTGTGCCCATTCTCTCCCACCTATGATTCTCCAAAATTTGGCCCATTTAGCCAAAGCTCTATTTATTAGTCTGTCTAGATTTGTCCATGTACTGTTTCCTAAGCAAGCCCTGTGCCTTTCTCCCTTTGATCAGGATTACCCAGCCCATGCTATTCCCTTTGCCCTCCAACCAACTACCCATCCATCTGTTCATCAATCCAATCAAAATGTTCTTCTATTTCATCTTTTAACCACCAAAGTCCTACCAATCCTCCAAAGCCGCCTCCTTCTGTGAAGACTTTCTTGTTGCCTTCCTAGTCAGAAATCACCTCCTTCCTCCAAATATCTTCCGCACTCTGTGCTACTAAAATGGTTTTTATAAAGTATTGAATCTTTTCCTGTAGTTATTTTATATTTGACCACCCTCCTGCATTAGACAGTGAGATCCTTGAGGGATGGACTATGTCTCACACACATAACATAGTATCCACAGCACCTGATTTAATGATTTGCATATAGAAGGAGATTGATAAATATTTGCTAAATATTGACTGAATAAGACCAGGGAGTCAAAAACCTTAGCTGAAATCTTCTCTATTTATTAAAAACTCCGTGACAAAAAACAATATTCAGGAAGGATTTCTTGGAGGATATATAGTTCACACATTTCTGTAGTTAGTATAAAATCCACCTCTTGAATTGGTGTACCAAAAAATGTATTATCTAGGCCTTTGCAGAGATAACTTTAATAAACTGTGCTTTGCCCTTATGTTTTGAATCATAAAAAAAAAAAGTTGGTATTGTAGCTATCGAATATAGTTGGGGATAATGTTTACCACATTGCACAGCTTCCTCTTAAAGAGGAATCACAGGAAACATTGCCCTAAGGTCTCAATCTAGAAAAAATCTGGGCACTTTCTGAGAGACTGGCCTTTGTCTAATGTTAAACACAAAGAAATATATAAACTATCATATTTCCTTTGTTTTGGACCAAGAGAAGTATAGAACAAATTTTGTGGTTCATGTTGAGCAAATATACAGAACCCTACCCCACACATTTGGACCCTGTGCTGGATTATCTGTTGTTAATCTTACCTTAGCTTTACCTTCCTTTATTTGCCCTTTCCCCTAATTTCTATGTTTATTCTTTCTTTTTAAATACCTTTTAATTGCATGTACTTATATAAGTTACTTGAAACTGATTTTGGAAAGAATAAATATATAAATAGTAAAATAGGGGAGATATTTGCTGTCATTTCTTTGTTTTCTCTTCAGAATAGTATTATAGCCTTTCTCCTTATCATGGCCAAGGACCAGATCATTATACCTTTTTAGATTTTACTTATTTCATTCCAACAGTTATCGCACAGCAAAATGAGACAAACCATTAAGGAATTTCCTTGTGACCAAGGTGATTTGACTATTCAATATTTCATTTTTCTAAAGGATTTCAAAATACTGGAGATAATCGAAATAATAAAACCACTCTTGATTCTCAATGTCATTATATGGATTAGGATTTCCAGTTAGGAGGGAGGTAGTGTTACTGTGAAAGATCAGGTGACCTGGCTTCTGATCCAGATTATGTGTTCAACCAGTTTGGTGACAATAGGCAAACTGTATAATCTTTCCAGGTCTCAGTTTCTTCAGAGGTTGCACAATACCAGCTTTTCCCAAAGAGTGTTTGTAGTACACTAGTGTGCTAACGTATGTTAATTGGTGTTCCATGAAAAAAAAAAAAGGGTTCAAATAAGTTTGGACAAGACTGCATTAAGTTCAGATAAAGTGTTTCTTAATGGTGGGATTTATAAGTCTTCAATTACGACTCTTGGGTGAGGGAGGATAGAGTGGATAGTATTATCCAAACTTGCATTTCATGGAAGCACATCAACTGACGAGTGCAAGTAACAACTAGTTGCAAAATCTGACTTGCCCTCCTTCCTCCTGTACCCTATCTACTCATATGGCAACAGCTGAAACATATATATTGAGTTATGTTAAAGGATGTACACAGAGTCATCTATGAGCAGACATGCTTTATTTACATTTGGAAAAGAGAGAAAATTTTACCCAGGGTAAATTAGGTAAATCATCAGGAGAAAGTACATATGCTGTCAAACTCCAGATCCAGAACATGCAGTTAATTTTGTACTCTTGACATTTTAGCAAGTCAGTATGGTTGAAAATATACTATTAACAGAGAAAGCATGAGTGAAAGAGAGCATGAGGAAACAAGAATCCTAAATTTTAAACTATATTTCTTGAAATAGCCTAACAGGATAGAGACTAAGCTCTTCTTTATCTATACTTTTGTGAAACTCAGCATACATGACTTCTATAGACACACACAACAATATATGGCCTTGTACTGGAATGAAGTATGAGAAAGAGCATGAGCTTTGTAGTCATAAATACCTAGGTGAGAATCTTAGCTGTTTCCTTTTCTATATGTGTGACTCCTCAATGAGCTCCAGTTTTCTCACTTGTAAAGAGAAATTTCTAACCCTGTAGCTTGTTTCAGTGGTTAATGAGTAAACATATGTAAAACAGCTAGCAGAATACTTGATACGCAGAAGATGGTCAACAAAATATTTTCTACCTTCCATTATTGAGAGTCCTCAGAGTGCACAGACTAGGGTTTGTCAGGCATAGTATCTTGTGTATATGTGATAGGAACTCAATAAATGTTTGAACATGAAAAAACTTTGATTACCAAATAGTGACGTTTCATACATCTTTCAAGACCAAGCTCAAATATTACTTCCTCTATAATGTTGTCTGATTATTAAAGCTGTAAAAGATTTATCCCTCGTCGCTGAACTCCCTACGCATTTTGCACTGTCATTTAGCACATTTTTCCTTGATTTGCTGTTACTTGTAGATATGTATCTTCTTCCCTCCAAGAAGTTCTCTCTTCTTGCAGGCAGAAAATGTTTTATTATCATTTGCTTCCCTTGCAGTGCTCAGCACAGTTCTTGTTCAAAAACTTGTGTTGAATAAATGAAAGGGGTGGCATCTTTTGACGTAGAATGATGACTAACGGAGTTTTCCTCAGCCTCAGTTAGGGCCCTCCAGGCCTTTTCATCACTTGTTAGATGACTTCCTTTTTTTTATAAGTGAATTTTGCCATTAGTTCCATGTCTAGAAGAAATTTCTAAAAGTCCTCTTCTGTGAAGCCTTCCTAGGAAGTTATTTGACTCCCCTTCTCTTTGTTCCCACTGTACCTTAGGCATACCTCTATAACTTTTACATATAGTATTGTTAATTCTATTTTTTCAAGACTATGAACTCCTGAAGAGCAGGACCAAGGTCTACACCACTATCCCCTAACAGATTTTGGGTACATAGTAAGTATTCAAAAAATGTTTCCAAAATGAGTGAATGAGAAATTCTCTACATTGATATGGACATGACATGAATTCAGGAGGAAAAAATATCAGCCAAGCTAAATGGATTTCCCATATTTAGGAGCCCAGGACAAGATGTTATAGAAGTAACTCAAGTATCTTTTGGTGAGTAAAGTGAAGCCTGGGGAAAGGACAGAAAATATAGACTATATTCTTGGGGTGAGACAATATCCAGGAAGGATTTTTGTTTAAGGCAACAAAAAGAGAAATGAACCAAAGATAACAAAATCTAGTACAAGATCAGGTTTTCTAAGAGTTTTGAACAATAGATCAGGAATGACTCTTTTAAGGAAAGGTTAGGTCTTCCATACTAAAATGAATCTGGGAAAAAGTAGAAAGAAATAAGTTTTAAGAAATATTAACAGCCTCAGCATCAAAAACAGTAGGAAAAAACCCCAGCTTTTAAATAGCTTTTCTTAAAATGCTTCCCTACCTCTCGTTCCTCCTCTTGCTCTTTGCGAATCTGCTCCAAGCGAAACTGTTCTGCCAACTCTCTTTCATGAGCTTCCCTCTGTTGATAAAACAGAAAGACAGTAAGCACTCAATAAATTTATCCAGGAAAAAAAAAAAAGGAAAAAGAAGCCAGTTATATTCAAAGGGCTCATTCCAAACATGACTACGTAATTCAGAGATACATTGTGGTAATAAACATGTTTCTCCTTAGAAGAAGATTAGAAATGAAAGCAACAACAAAGCATAGCTCTCTGATCATGTTGGGTTTCTCTTATTCAAACACCTTTGGTAACTCTGGGTAATGTGGAATTCAAGATCCTTCAGGACCTTTTTTTGGTCTTCCTTTCTGGCCTTTTCTGCTATCTCTCTAATATCCAAACCTCAAGCTCTCTTTTACATCAGCCTCTATCCATCCCCCATGCTTTCCGGCCCCTTGATGCTAGCTTATATTACTACTTCTTCCCTACCCCTTTCTCTGACCTGTTCACATATGCCACTTCATATTTGAAACATTCCCTAGTACATTCACACTTCCTGACTCTCCAAAAAAGCTGGAAAAAAATTTCCACTGAAACTCCTGCTCACTGAAGTCTCACAAAACTCAGTGCTCCCCTCACAACACTTAGGATCCTTGCCTTATGTTACAGCTATCTGTGTTCTTGACTTAATCTACTCTTTCACATTGTAAACCTTCCTTTGAGGGCAAAAACTGTGGCTTGTTTATTTTCCTCTCCTTCTTCAATGCCCAATACAGAAGCAGATGCTCAAGAAGAATTAAATAAATCAGTGGTTCTCCACCCTGACTACACATTAGGATCACCTAAAGTACTTTTAAAAAGTTGCTGGGTTCTATCACAGACAAATTAAAAAACAAATAAAAGAGATACCAGGCTCATTTTTGTTTTCATTTTCTTGATTCTCATCAAACTTTATTTTGTCAAAATGAAACATGCTTTAAGAACCATGAATAGAGTTATAATTTTTCTGTTAATTGAATCTAGCTTTCTCCATTGCAAACCCAATATATTCAGGGATCAAAGTAATAAAAGGACTGGCACTTAAATAATGAAAAACTATTTAGGATTGAGCTCTATATCTTAGAAATACCTTGACCAAACCTACCTTTGCTCTATCAGCCTCAAGTGAAAGGCGATAGGCCTCATCTTGTTCTCTCTTCACATTTTCTCTGGCTTCACGTTCATCCTTAAAAGAAAGAAAAAGATTCAAATGTGTTTTACCTTTTTTTTTAAAAAAAGGAAAAACCAATGATAATTCCCTCATCTTACTCTTACGTGAATTTATTATAATTAAATAAGGAACTTTTGTTGTTGTTTTTTGTTTGTTTGTTTTTTAAAATAAAGTCAAGGAAATTTATTTCCTGAGGTCATGGCACAGGAAGTCAACTCCTAGCCACAGTCGTGGAGCTCTACTATTGAAGGTCAGAGTGCTGACATTCTGGGTGGACCAGGAAGCTAGAGTCTGTGTTATCTTATCATAAAAAGCTCAATTACCTTTGTTTAGTGTTTAAAACAGCTGAGGAATTTTTAAGGGTATAGGATGTAAATAAGCAAACAAACAATAAGATGACCATCATAGTACATAATAAAAAATAATGTGTGAATCCTAGCTCTACTACTTACAAACTGTGTGACCTTGTTGTGTAAGTTATTTAACTTCTCAAGGTCTCAGTCTCAATTGTAAAATAAAAATATTTGTCTTATAGGGTTACTGTGAGAATTAAATACAATAATGTATAAACTGTCTAGCAAAGCACCTGGCACTTAGTTCATTTTCACACTTTTTAGTTCCCTTCCCCCTTTCTCTTGATTTTTCTAAGATAAACTTGGAGACTGTCAGCATTGGGACTAAGGACTAGAAAGGAGTATAAAATACTCAGAAATAATCCCGTTTAGCACAGAAAGAGGCTGAAAGCAAAACACCTTGGTTAACATCATTCTACACCATACCACTAAAGCTTTGACTAGCAAATAAGTATTTCCCTACCACATTCACACTCAAGAAGTGGATAACAGAAGTTATCTAAACAGAAAATCTTTTAGAATATTTTTAGCTTCCAAAGTGATTATACCATGTGCCAACATTTAAATTATGACTTCGTATGAAATTAAAAGTTAATTCACTAACAGAATTTCTCATTTGTTAAGTTCAGGACTGTAGCCAATATACATGTACTTAAACTTAATAACGACATCTGTCTACATTAGAGTGTGGGTTCCCTTTTTGGTCATTTTGTGTATTAGGCTGAAACATATAAAGTCACCAATATTTGACTGTTTTTGACCTATAAAAATGGAAATTTCATATGGTTGAAGTTAACACTGTTTAACTTTTCATCTCCCCAATTCACTATATGCTTACAAACAGCTGAATATATGCTCAGCATTCTTTTAGGTGCTCTCTCTAATACCTATTCAAGACTGGCCTTCTCCACGGAGCCAAATACTCCTTCTAGTTCTAATAATCCAACCAATTCCAAAAGCTCTGATACAAATAGTAACATTTCAATGATTCCTAATTTTTCAAATTAACAAATAGGAAGAATTAGATGTTGCTGGCCTGAAGCTGTCATACTGTCGAGCTAGGGCTAGGTCTGGAGCTCATAGACCCCTAGAGCCCATTGTCCAGATTGAGTCACAAACCCTTCACACGCAGGTCTATGAGCTAGGGAACTGGCAAAAAGGTCCTTGGACCCGTAGGTTTGAGAGCATGGATGCAAGGACCAAGGCAGTCAACACCAGGCAAGTGGCGGCATCGAGTATGTGTGCTAGCTCCATCCACACGAAACTTATTTACAAAGAATGCACCGCACCACCCCTAACCAGACCTACGGTGAGGGGGCCTGATTAAATTATTCTATTTTCCCAACACATACTATCTATGATGAAAGGGTATGCCAGGGAAATTATATGTGGGCACAAAATACCTGGAACCATGTTTAACCTGAGAGACCCTTAAGACTGCAAAGCAATCAAAATAATTTACATGTCATATAATACTACACATGAATAAAAATGGGTTTTAAAAACTTCTAATTGGAGACTTGTACTAACAGTTAGCATTTATATTTTAAAGAAACAGAAGCATTCTCCTTTAAATATATTTTTACTAACTCTTACGTGGCCATCTTTCACTTTGGTCTATTTACTAAGGATTTACTAGGACTAGATACAACAAGCCTGATAAGGCATATTTTGTGTATTTCTGTTTGTATTTGCATTTGCCTAATCATTACTCTGTAAACTATTCCCAACACCCAACACACAAATTGGTATAGAGTGGCCACAATAATTCATTTGGCTATCGCTGATCTATGTTTGATACATAATTTCCTTATTTTTCAAGTAACTGAGGAGAGGTAATGGGAAGATTAGCAGACCTGTGTCCAAGTCCTATCCCTGCCAGTAGCAAGCTATGTGTTCTTGGGTAAATAAGGTCTCCCTTTTCAGTCATCTGTTAAAGTATTGAACGTCTAAATATCCTATGCCTTTCCTAATTTAGAGATCTCTAGAATATAATCAACAACCTATAGAGTAATCTTACCTTTCCATATTTGAAATGGAGATATATTTAAGATGATTAAAATTTTAATTTGACCTTACTTTCCTGACTTCACCCCCTTAAATTAGTTTAGGTTTCTCTTATAACCTTCTGTACTTTCCCTTTAAAGCATTTATCACAATTACAATTTATTAATTAGCACATAATTATTTATTAAATGTGGAATTCCCCCATGACCCAGTAAGCTCCACAAAGGTAGAGACGTTGTCTACATTATATATACCTCTACATTCCACACTGCCTAGCCTTAGGGAGGTGTTTAATAAGCATATTTTGAATAAATGAATCATCTTTCCAGGCATAAAATACTTATTGTCTGCAGCAAAAATTAAGGAGGAAAAAGATATAGCTCATCCACAAAGGGGCCCCATCTGAGTCAATGAAATTGACTGGCTGGGCAGGAAAGACCTTTTATGACGCTATGTACACACAACTAAGGGACTTTCTAAAAGTTATCACAGCTGTAAGCCCTTTGAGCACAAATACAGTTTATAATAAAAGCATTCTAAGTAAATAGCTCTGTTTTAAAACAGACTGTTACAGATATAAAAGGCCATTAAATACAGGGATCTCTGCCACAGAATGTGACACCTGTTGCAAGAGGATTTTCTGAACCAATTAATTTCCTTCCTTCTTACCCTTCTTTCTCCCTTCCTTTTCCCTTCCCTCTCACAAATACGAGTATTCATCAAGCACCAATTTTATATTAGGCATCACATTAGCACTGGGGATACAGAGAAAGGCCACTGTTTAAAAGGGAAAAACACAGATAATCACGCTTGGACCACCTCCATCATTATTTTATGTAGTCTATTGATCTATGGTTAAGAATTCACTTCTTGGGTTTTATGTTATTTTCTTTTTGTTTCTTAAATAATGTTGCGCTCTCCACCTGGAAGACTTCCTGTTCCATCAGCTCTACCATTCAAAATCCTACCAGCCTTTCACATGCTTTTAGGAATATAGGAGACAAACATGTCCAAAAGAGCCACTTCAGAGAGGAAGAAACTAAAATAACATGAAGGTAACTGATTTGCACAAGACTACCCAGTAAGTCAGTGGCAGAACTTAGATTTGAATCTAGGTCTCCTGAACACCGTCCCCCCCCCCGCCCCACGCCGCACTCTCATCATCCATCCAATGCTCTTTCCCTCGCCCACAACTCTCCCTGACCATCCTGACAAAAGGGCTGGCTCAGCATGTGGCTCAAGATGAATTTTCCTAAATTCATCATGGTCATAGCTTCTTGTGTGTTTGGTAGTTACCTGTGAATAGCTATCACTTCTTCTCTGTCCTGGCTCTCCAACTGTCCTGCTCATAGTAATCTACAATTTAGGGAATTAGAGAAAACTGCTTAGGTGTTTTCTCCATATTATTCTATATTATTAGACTTTTTAGAAAATTCCGGGTATTGTAGCTAACATTTTACATACAAATTTGTTTTCATAGCCCATAGATGTACCCCTTGGAACTTCTCCTGTGTCTTAGAAATACTGTCCTTGTGGAGGTTTCCCTTGCTAAATCTGAGAAGACACATCAAAGTAACTAGAAATACACAATGGTTGTATAGAGGTGGAACAACAGATGATCAGATTCAGGAACATGTCTTCGGTGCAGCCTGGGTTATGGCTTAGGCTTCTTGGTATTAAACCATTCCTCATCACATCAAAGTGAGAAGCTGGATGTTAAGAAATAGGGCCGGCCCGGTGGCACACTGCTATAGTGCGCTGCTTGGGAAGTGTGGCGGAGCTCCCGCCAAGGGTTCGGATCCCACATACAGACCGGGTCCTGCTCACTGGCTGAGCGAGGCACGGGTGGAGCACCGAG